TGTGTCAATTTATATTAATTGGAACGGTGGTTATTGATTACTATGTTTCAGTTAATGTTAGCATGAATGCAGTTTGCTGAGTTTCTGTTTGTTCCAGTTTGCATTATGGGTGAATCGAGGTTAGTGGATCATTGCTTGTGATCAGAATATTAGTAAACTACAGTCTGTCCGTTTGTGTTAATGTGAATGGAGTTTAGTGTATTTCGGTGTTAATGTTTTTCTGTTAACACGAATCATGATTTGTATGTTTCTATTTGTGTATCAGTTTGTGTAATGTGAAGAAACTTCAGTGAGTTTCTGTGTAGGTGTTAATTCGTGTGAGAGCATATTCCTTATACTGTAATTCAAAATCTAATTTATTGTCTTCAGAAAAAAATTATATCTGTCATGGAGTGCACCAAACAAGAGCAGTGGTTATTCTGTATATATCAAATGCATTGGCTACTATTGTATGTGAAAGACTTATGGAGGTATTCACCACACTGAAAATGGAGGAGAATGGACGAGAACATTAGAAATGTAATCATCGAACGTTTCCAAACTGGAAAATATCCGAGATGGACAGTTTTTCCATTTTAGCTGTTTTGATCAATGTTTTTGAGCTGTATTATTATAATGTGCCATTTACATTTTAGAGAAGAAGAACCCTTTAAATTAATGAGAAAGCAAATGCTTTGGGCCAAGTTAAAATATTTCCACCTAAAACTAACTTTCATTTTAGACATGAATTATGGTCAGTTTCTAACATCATACAGAAAGAGCAGTAGGTACGCTGAGCCTCCACAATGACAGGATCTTGAAAAACAGGGAACTGACGTCCCCTTCCAATAACAATGTATCAGCGCTAACAGAAAAATAAATACAAGATTTCATTGAGAATTCATTGAAATTCAAAGCAAATTTAGAAATTTAAGACAAAGTAGCCGAGTTAAATTTGCTTCAAGTTCCGCTTCTTTTGCCTTAAATTTTATATTCACTTTTATTTCCTGACAATTTTTACGTTAGTGAATAATCCTTAGTGATTTTATGAAAGTGATCTAATTAACTATTTTTTTATTGTTTAGTCTTTTTAGCTGGGCACATGCCAGAGAGAAACTTTTTCCAAGGTCTGCCTTGTTAAATATACATCACATAAAACAATACATTTTGAAATTTGCCCAAACTGGCTGGGAATTCAAGCATTTTTGTACTCTCAACACAACTTTTATTTAGCTATATACTGTGAGATAAACATCAACTCCTGGAGCAGAGCTACAACAAAGAGTTCCAACAGGAGAAACTTAGGCTCTCCATTCTTAGTTTTGGTCCTAGACTCTTTTGATCACACCCTTTGTTATGGTTTAAAAATCTGTTTAAAACCAGGGCTCCGTTACTAAGGGTACCTGCGGTAATCAGATGAATTGTGACACATAATGCCACTACATTTGTATATCCAATGAGGATTTCTGGGAGAATTGTGGAAATATGAACAATCAGAACTCCCATAACCAAGACAGACTTATTTCAAGATTTGACTTTAGATGTGTAAGTGATGCAAAAAAAATACATTTTGAATTTTGTCTGAATTTAATCTGTATGGTGAGATTTACCTGCTCTTTACTGTTTTATCTGACATTAAAGGAACACTATAGGGACAGGAATACAAATGTGTATTCCTGACCCTATAGAATTAAAAAATTTTTTAGCCCTTCCGGCCCACCCTTGCCCCCCTGAAAAAGAGAGAAAATGTACCTTTATTCCAACTGTCCACACTCAGCCCTCTTGGCTGAGATCATCAAAACTGACAATCTCAGCCAATCCACATTGTGCACCACTGATCCAGGAAGCACCTATAGTAGCCGTCTGAGTGACTGCCATTGAAGGTGTTCCTAGGCAGTAATGTAAACACTGCCTATTCTATGAAAGTGAAATGCCTACAGGGACTACATTAACCTCTTAAGGACACAACTTCTGGAATAAAAGGGAATCATGACGGAATATTTCCGTCATTTGTCCTTAAGGGGGTTAAGCTGTAGTTATTGTGGTGGCTATAATGTCCCTTTAACCATCATAGAAAGAAAAAATGCACACTCCCTGAAAATTACTGCTAGGAGTACGTTTCTGTTATTCCTATTTTTTCTGTTGCCAGGAAAAAAAAACTAATCTAATTTACTTGTTCTATTCGATATGTTCTGCGCCGTGTTAAAGAACAGTAAAAAAAAGAGAAACACTGAAATAAAGTGGATTGCAAACACAAATCAAAGAACAAATAGTCTTGCATGTAAAAAAAGGCAACAATATCCAAATGTTAATCCAACTTCATACATATGGATGTTTGGGTTTTATTGCAGTTTGATGACTGTTCTACCAAAAACTAATCAATGATAATGAAGTAAAGGATTAGTCAATAAGTATGTCTAGCCAGTGTTTAAAGAGATGTTGCAGAAGTGATTTAGTTCTCCTGGGGGATAGTTTAAATTGTGATGCTTTTGATAAATGCCATCTTTGTACATGGAAGCGGGCTCGACAGCAGAATAGAGTCATGAATCTCGAGATTTCTATGACGGTGACAGGATGTTCCAGCTTAAACTGTGATCACCAGACACACAACTGGAGCATGCCAATGATTAATTCTTGCTAAAGAGATTTAATTTATGCAAAATATCCATATGACGCATTGCCGCTGAGCTCACTGGATATGGCTTGCCGTTGATATCCACTCCAGTGATTCGCGTTGCCTTACGAAATCAAAAAAAGGTAATGGGTCGAACATCACGTGCAGGACGACGCGGAGAAAACCTATTTCTGATTTTGCTTCTCTGATACCGATCGTTAATTTTAATAAAGATGCATATCCCATGATACACCGTGATAAAAGTGCTGATACAGTTTGTTCACATAAAAGAGGCAAGACTGCATTTGAAGAAAACATTGGAATTAAGTAATTTATCTTACACAGCGCGGCGCAGCCTGAGCCATCTTCTTCAGCCCCATACATCATATACATATTTAGCTGACTCTTCATTTTTATGCCCTGGGAAAATGCAATTTCCATAGTAATTTGTACTTCATGTAAACATATATATATTGCATCTCAGACGCAGAAAGGTTTTTTGGTTTTCCAAATTCTCCTCCCATAAATCTGCATGAAAAAATGGCTGCATCCCTCCTCGCTTTAGCAAAAATAACTGATTGTATATGTATGTGTCTGTATATATCAGGGGGAAACCTTCGGCTCTCCAGATGTTGTGGACTACATCTCCCATAATGCACGTACAGCCGTAATGCTGCAAAGCATCAACATCTTAACCCTTTGCATGACTGTATATATTTTTACACAGGATCATTTCAAACAATGTAAGTCAGTATAGTTAACCATTGAATTTCCAGGGAATGAGCAGAAAAGTGTTGAAATCTTGATGAATTCTATGAATTAATTTTGAGCCTTTATATTATTTATTGTGACTATTTATACATACATATATATATATATACACTTGGGAGCGACGCTAAGGTTGAGGATCATACCAAACTCTGCTCCAAGATTCTTACAGGTAGGGCCCCAACATGACAATAACGTGGGGCATTTGTCAGATCATGTGTGTAATTTGTCCTTGATATGCTCAGAGTATGTGATGTCATGAGACGTACTCAACGTTGCTTGGGAAAATACTGTCATTCAGAGGCTACAGAGATATGATAAACCACGAGGGCAAAGGATGAGAGGTTAAAAGATATCTCCAGAACTGCTCAGTGACATTATACTCCCCAATGCATACTAAACCAGTATGCATCACTTCAAATATATAATATGTTTAGGCAACGGTTAATGTGCTAGCATTAGGGTTAATGTTTTGATTTAGGGTTATGGGGAATGTTAGGATTAGGGGGAGTTTAAGTGTTAGGGATAGTGCTACGGTTAGCGGTAGTGCAGGTGTTAGGGCAAGAGGAAGTGGCAAGAGGAAGTGTAAGTGTTGGGGGCAGTACACTCACTGGAAGACATATATACCCACACATTTACGGACTTGACACAATCTGACAGACACACAAAATTATCGATTTGGCATAATCTGACAGACAAACACACAATCACTCAGACATGCACAGACACACGCACTGAAAGACACGCACACACTCACTGACAGACACACATTCAGTGACAAACACACATTGACAGACATACACACACACACTCACAGACACGCACTGATAGACGTAGACACACACATTCACTGACAGACACACACAAACTCACTCACAGAAACGCAAATACTCCCTCACAGAAACACACATTCACTGACAAACAAACTCACTGACATACAAACACACTCAGACAGACACACACAAACTGACAGATGACATACGCACACGCACACAATGACAGAGAGGCATATACAAACATTAATTGACAGACAAACTGACTGACAGATACACTCACTCAGACACACTGACAGATATAACAACACATTTACTGACAGACAAATACACACACACACACACATAGACTGACGTACACACTGACAGACTGACACACACATTTCCCCCCAACATTTACTAATAATTATTTACTTTTATTTTAATTTAAATCCACCCAGCCTCCCTACCTTTGGGAGAGCTGGGTGGATTTTTACATGGGGTCCAGTGGGGCTGCTGGGCTGGCCGCTGGGCATGCAGGCTTGCAGGATGGAGGTCAGCCAGGCATGCAGGATGGAGGACGGGCAGGCAAGGGGGGGAGTGGATGCGCAAAATAGGCAGCTAGGGAGCTCTGATCCTCCTGTTCAGCTCCTTGAACAGGAAGAGCTGAGATCAGCACAACCTGTAAAAGAAACAGTCTGGGCGCCCTGGGGGGCTCAAAGGTGGCCAGCCGGCCAACTCTTGGGCCCCCCATAAGTCAAGGCAAACCAGGTATTTGCTCTCCAGGTATTTGCACTTGGGGGGCGGCGTTTTTTGCCGCCCCCTGGAAAATCCCAAAACAAATTCCTTGTTTGCCTTGCGCTAAATACAGCGCTGGTTGGGGGGGTTTAAGTCTTAGGGTTGGTGGGAGAGTTAGGCTTAGGAAGAGTGTAAATGTTAGGGGCAGTTTTAATGTTAGGCAGAGTGTAAGTGTTAGGGTTAGTTGGAGGGTTAGGGGGAGAGTAAGCTTTTGGAGCAGTTTTAATGTTAGGCAGAGTGTAAGTGTTAGGGTTAGTTGGAGGGCTAGGGGGAGAGTAACAGTATGGAGCAGTTTTAATGTTAGGCAGAGTGTAAGTGTTAGGGTTAGTTGGAGGGTTTGGAGCAGTTTTAATGTTGGGTATAATGTTAGGGTTAGTTGAAGGGTTAGGGGGAGAGTAAGAGTTTGGAGCAGTTTCAATGTTGGGTATAATGTTAGGGTTAGTTGGAGGGTTAGGGGGAGAGTAAGAGTTTGGAGCAGTTTCAATGTTGGGTATAATGTTAGGGTTAGTTGGAGGGTTAGGGGGAGAGTAAGAGTTTGGAGCAGTTTCAATGTTGGGTATAATGTTAGGGTTAGGGGGAGAGTAAGAGTTTGGAGCAGTTTCAATGCTGGGTATAATGTTAGGGTTAGTTGGAGGGTTAGGGGGAGAGTAAGAGTTTGGAGCAGTTTCAATGTTGGGTATAATGTTAGGGTTAGTTGGAGGGTTAGGGGGAGAGTAAGAGTTTGGAGCAGTTTCAATGTTGGGTATAATGTTAGGGTTAGGGAGAGAGTAAGAGTTTGGAGCAGTTTCAATGTTGGGTATAATGTTAGGGTTAGTTGGAGGGTTAGGGGGAGAGTAAGAGTTTGGAGCAGTTTCAATGTTGGGTATAATGTTAGGGTTAGTTGGAGGGTTAGGGGGAGAGTAAGAGTTTGGAGCAGTTTCAATGTTGGGTATAATGTTAGGGTTAGTTGGAGGGCTAGGGGGAGAGTAAGAGTTTGGAGCAGTTTCAATGTTGGGTATAATGTTAGGGTTAGTTGGAGGGATAGGGGGAGAGTAAGAGTTTGGAGCCGTTTTAATGTTGGCTATAATGTTAGGGTTAGTTGGAGGGTTGGGGGAGAGTGAAAGTTTGGAGCAGTTTCAATGTTGGGTATAATGTTAGGGTTTGTTGGAGGGTTAGGGGGAGAGTAAGAGTTTGGAGCAGTTTCAATGTTGGATATAATGTTAGGGTTAGTTGGAGGGTTAGGGGGAGAGTAAGAGTTTGGAGCAGTTTCAATGTTGGATATAATGTTAGGGTTAGTTGGAGGGTTAGGGGGAGAGTAAGAGTTTGGAGCAGTTTCAATGTTGGGTATAATGTTAGGGTTAGTTGGAGGGAGAGTAAGAGTTTGGAGCAGTTTCAATGTTGGCTATAATGTTAGGGTTAGTTGGAGGGTTGGGGGAGAGTGAAAGTTTGGAGCAGTTTCAATGTTGGGTATAATGTTAGGGTTTGTTGGAGGGTTAGGGGGAGAGTAAGAGTTTGGAGCAGTTTCAATGTTGGGTATGGTTAAGTTGGAAGTTGGGGGGAGGCAAGTTTGGAGCAGTTTCAATGTTGGGTATAATGTTAGGGTTAGATTTGGGTTAGGGGAGAGTAGAGTTTGGAGCAGTTTTAATGTTGGGTATAATGTTAGGGTTTGTTGGAGGGTTAGGGGGAGAGTAAGAGTTTGGAGCAGTTTCAATGTTGGGTATAATGTTAGGGTTTGTTGGAGGGTTAGGGGGAGAGTAAGAGTTTGGAGCAGTTTTAATGTTGGGTATAATGTTAGGGTTAGTTGGAGGGATAGGGGGAGAGTAAGAGTTTGGAGCAGTTTTAATGTTGGGTATAATGTTAGGGTTAGTTGGAGGGTTAGGGGAGAGTAAGAGTTTGGAGCAGTTTCAATGTTGGGTATAATGTTAGGGTTAGTTGGAGGGTTAGGGGGAGAGTAAGAGTTTGGAGCAGTTTTAATGTTGGGTATAATGTAAGGGTTAGTTGGAGGGCTAGGGGGGAGTAAGAGTTTGGAGCAGTTTTAATGTTGGGTTTAATGTTGAAGTTACGTTGGAGGGATGGGGAGAGTAAAATTTGAACGTTTTGTGTTGGGTATAATGTTAGGGTTAGTTGGAGGGTTAGGGGAGAGTAAGAGTTTGGAGCAGTTTCAATGTTGGGTATAATGTTAGGGTTAGTTGGAGGGTTAGGGGGAGAGTAAAAGTTTGGAGCAGTTTCAATGTTGGGTATAATGTGAGGGTTAGTTGGAGGGTTAGGGGGAGAGTAAGAGTTTGGAGCAGTTTCAATGTTGGGTATAATGTTAGGGTTAGTTGGAGGGTTAGGGGGAGATTAAGAGTTTGGAGCAGTTTTAATGTTGGGTATAATGTAAGGGTTAGTTGGAGGGCTAGGGGGGAGTAAGAGTTTGGAGCAGTTTTAATGTTGGGTTTAATGTTAGGGTTAGTAGCATTGTAAGTGTTATGGCCCTGTAGGGATTTAGGAAATGTATTTAATATGAGGGCAGAAATAAAAAAAAAGGTCCTGACAAGACTACTGTGAGTTGCATTCCTGAGTGGCAGTTATGACATTTCCAGGTGGGAGTGTAACTTTCACTAATCCTAGGCAGACCATTACACTGTTCAGACCAAGATTAGGGCCCCTTATGGTGCATGTGGGGAAACTATCCATTATTCCCTATTGGTTACACGAAACAATTGCACAGAAAAAATCATCAACCACGTACCATGGGATCCTAGACCACAGACTGGCTGAGATACATATGTAGGTAGAATGAGTGCAATCAATATTCATATTACACACTATTTTGTTTTTTTATAAGCATATAAAAATTAACTCCAGTAACCTCCAGTAACCTACTTCAGTGACAGCTGTAAGAAGGATGTTGTTCACAGGTATCACAGATAGATTACATTACTGAAAACATTAAAATGCCTTAATTAATTTATGTTTATTTAAGCTTATCATCTGATGTGATATATGCTGGTATATGACAGAGCAACACCCTAACATAAACCCCTAATTAGCAGGATCCCCATTCCCATTCCAAACTAGACTACCCACTTTCTGTAAACAAAGCCGTAAACAAATTATTATACATCTTTAATTTACTACCGAGGAAAAGGTGGAGAATAAAACGCACAAATATTCGGAGTCTCTCAGAACTCAGAGGAATCGAAACAAAAGGATGCAGCATGCTTCGACTACTTACAGCGGTGATGTTCGATGACGACAACGTGGAGTTGATTGTCTTCTGATGAGTTGCAATCATAACAAACATTTTGCCAAAGATTTTCTGGTATTACCATAAAGTAGTATCATATTTTACACCTTTTTGTTTTAAATAAAACTCTTAATTTCTTTACCGTCTAATTCACTCTTCATTTTCTTCAAGCAGCGAATCAATCATAGAGCAACATGCCTCTTGTCATTACAGTCAAATGATGTACTACTATGAAAAAAAAAAAAAACCATCACAGCGCTTTCCGTTTCGAACTATGGCTTGCTCTTACTATACAGAAACCAGAATGAAGGCAGTTGTGATATTAAAAAAAATAAAAAAAATAATTGAAAGGTGTAAATCAATGAAAAATAGCATTTCACCCCCCAATTTCCAGAAGTTAGACTCGTGCACTGATTCTTATTCTGAGCCAGTGCTCACCTCAGGACTAATTCAGTTGCGGTTTACTGTTTGCTTGTAATAAAGCCTACTCTATTGCTGCTGCTGCTGCTGCCTGCCATAAATTATATCTCCGTTAAACAGCAGAAGTGTTTGGCCGTCTGAGAATGCTGCTTCGCACATGTAACGTTTTTACTTTAAAGTGCACTTCACCCCCAGATATAACATGTGGCAGTGTGAAGATAGGACCATGTTGTCTACACATTTTGATAGCCATATTTGTGGAAAATATAGCGAAAATCCTAGCTTATGGAAACTGATATCAAATGCAAGTTATTGCACAAAAATGACAAGAACCCCCTCTTGCATCTGAGCCGAAGCATTCAGGGTCCCAAAATGAAACACAGACGGGGCCACTAATAATTGCAAAAAGATCTACTGAAATAGTGAAGGGTGCATTTACAGAGACACAACACATACAAACACAAACACCGTTGCTTTACAATCAGATACTATACAATAATGTGTAAAGTTTTACTTATTTTTGATGGTTTGTTGTTATCATCTAGAATCTAGAGCTTTGGGATAAACCAAGATATCATGGCAATAAAACTCCCAGCACTATGCAGTGCATATTAGTGTATCACAGAGCTCCATGGCAATAGAACTCCCAGCACTATGCAGTGCATATTAGTGTATCACAGAGCTCCATGGCAATAAAACTCCCAGCACTATGCAGTGCATATTAGTGTATCACAGAGCTCCATGGCAATAAAACTCCCAGCACTATGCAGTGCATATTAGTGTATCACAGAGCTCCATGGCAATAGAACTCCCAGCACTATGCAGTGCATATTAGTGTATCACAGAGCTCCATGGCAATAGAACTCCCAGCACTATGCAGTGCATATTAGTGTATCACAGAGCTCCATGGCAATAGAACTCCCAGCACTATGCAGTGCATATTAGTGTATCACAGAGCTCCATAGCAATAGATCTCCCAGCACTATGCAGTGCATATTAGTGTATCACAGAGCTCCATGGCAATAGAACTCCCAGCACTATGCAGTGCATATTAGTGTATCACAGAGCTCCATGGCAATAGAACTCCCAGCACTGTGCAGTGCATATTAGTGTATCACAGAGCTCCATGGCAATAGAACTCCCAGCACTATGCAGTGCATATTAGTGTATCACAGAGCTCCATGGCAATAGAACTCCCAGCACTGTGCAGTGCATATTAGTGTATCACAGAGCTCCATGGCAATAGAACTCCCAGCACTGTGCAGTGCATATTAGTGTATCACAGAGCTCCATGGCAATAGAACTCCCAGCACTGTGCAGTGCATATTAGTGTATCACAGAGCTCCATGGCAATAGAACTCCCAGCACTGTGCAGTGCATATTAGTGTATCACAGAGCTCCATGGCAATAGAACTCCCAGCACTATGCAGTGCATATTAGTGTATCACAGAGCTCTATAGCAATAGATCTCCCAGCACTATGCAGTGCATATTAGTGTATCACAGAGCTCCATGGCAATAGAACTCCCAGCACTATGCAGTGCATATTAGTGTATCACAGAGCTCCATGGCAATAGAACTCCCAGCACTATGCAGTGCATATTAGTGTATCACAGAGCTCCATAGCAATAGATCTCCCAGCACTATGCAGTGCATATTAGTGTATCACAGAGCTCCATGGCAATAGAACTCCCAGCACTATGCAGTGCATATTAGTGTATCACAGAGCTCCATGGCAATAGAACTCCCAGCACTGTGCAGTGCATATTAGTGTATCACAGAGCTCCATGGCAATAGAACTCCAACACTGTACGGTACATATTAATTGAGAGCTCCATGGCAATAAAACTCCAGCACTATGCAGTGCATATTGAGTACTATCACAGAGCTTCCATGGCAATAAAACTCCCAGCACTTATGCAGTGCATATTAGTGTATCCTGAGCTCCATGGCAATAGAACTCCCAGCACTATGCAGTGCATATTAGTGTATCACAGAGCTCCATGGCAATAGAACTCCCAGCACTATGCAGTGCATATTAGTGTATCACAGAGCTCCATGGCAATAAAACTCCCAGCACTATGCAGTGCATATTAGTGTATCACAGAGCTCCATGGCAATAGAACTCCCAGCACTATGCAGTGCATATTAGTGTATCACAGAGCTCCATGGCAATAAAACTCCCAGCACTGTGCAGTGCATATTAGTGTATCACAGAGCTCCATGGCAATAGAACTCCCAGCACTATGCAGTGCATATTAGTGTATCACAGAGCTCCATGGCAATAGAACTCCCAGCACTATGCAGTGCATATTAGTGTATCACAGAGCTCCATAGCAATAGATCTCCCAGCACTATGCAGTGCATATTAGTGTATCACAGAGCTCCATGGCAATAGAACTCCCAGCACTATGCAGTGCATATTAGTGTATCACAGAGCTCCATGGCAATAGAACTCCCAGCACTCCCAGCACTATGCAGTGCATATTAGTGTATCACAGAGCTCCATGGCAATAGAACTCCCAGCACTGTGCAGTGCATATTAGTGTATCACAGAGCTCCATGGCAATAGAACTCCCAGCACTGTGCAGTGCATATTAGTGTATCACAGAGCTCCATGGCAATAGAACTCCCAGCACTATGCAGTGCATATTAGTGTATCACAGAGCTCCATGGCAATAGAACTCCCAGCACTATGCAGTGCATATTAGTGTATCACAGAGCTCTATAGCAATAGATCTCCCAGCACTATGCAGTGCATATTAGTGTATCACAGAGCTCCATGGCAATAGAACTCCCAGCACTATGCAGTGCATATTAGTGTATCACAGAGCTCCATGGCAACAGAACTCATAGTACTATGCAGTGCATATTAGTGTATCACAGAGCTCCATGGCAACTGAACTCCCAGCACTATGCAGTGCATATTAGTGTATCCAGAGCTCCATGGCAATAGAACTCCCAGCGCTATGCAGTGCATATTAGTGTATCACAGAGCTACTTTGTGTGTATGTGTGTGTGTAACTGTCTGCCTGTAACTGTGTGTGTGTGTGTGTGTGTGTGTGCATGTGTGTGTGTGAGACTGTCTGTGTGTAACTGTCTGCCTGTAACTTTGTGTGTGTGTGTGTATGTGTGTGTGTGTGTAACTGTATGCCTTTAACTGTGTGTGTGTGTGTGTGTGTGTGTGTGTGTGTGTATGTGTGTGTGTGAGACTGCCTGTAACTGTGTGTGTAACTGTCTGGCTATGACTGTCTGCTGCTGTTGTGTGTGTGTGTCAATGTATATGTGACTGTCTGCCTGTAACTGTGTGCATGACTGTATGTGACTGTATGTGTGACTGTCTGCATGTGACTGTGTGCCTGTAACTGTGTGTGTGTGTGTGTTTGCCTGTATATGTGTGTGTAACTCTCTGCCTGTGACTGTGTGTGTGAGTGATTGTATATGTGACTGTCTGTCTGTAAATGTGTGCGTGACTGTCTGGCTGTGACTGTGTGTGACTACCTGTAACTGACTGTGACTGACTGTGCGTGTAACTGACTGCCTATAACTGTGTGTGTGACTACATGTTACTATGTATGTGTGACTGTCTGCCTGTGACTGTTCGATGTTGCCTGTAACCGTGTGTGACTGTCTGTGACTGTGTGCATGTGACTGTCTGCTGCTGTTGTGTGTGTGTGTGTGTGTGTGTGTCAATGTATATGTGACTGTCTGCTGCTGTCATGTGTGTGTATCAATGTATATGTGACTGTCTGCCTGTAACTGTGTGCATAACTGTCTGTGACTGCATGTGTGACTGTGTGCGTGTGACTGTCTGCCTGTAACTGTGTGTGACTGTATGCCTGTAACTGAGTGTGTGACTGTCTGTCTGTAACTGAGTGTTTGACTGTCTGCCTGTAAATGTGTGTGTGGGGCTGCATGGATTTTTTAGAAAGGGGCAGGGGTTTTGTATTGGGACAGGGGATAAGCAGGGGATTTGTGGAAGGGGTCTGTGGGGGTTTTGTAGATGGGGCAGTACAGGAGGATTTGTAGAAGGGGGCAGGACAGGGGTTTTGTAGGAGGGGCTGACAGCAGTTTTGCAAAGTTTACAAATTGTAAAAAAAAAAGAAAACATTTAAAAAAATTTACAGGTTTTTTTATTTGGGGGAGGGGTGAGGGGGTGCCAAGCACAGGATCCGCCCCGGGTGCCAAATGCTCTAGGTACGCCACTGCCACAGTCACAACTATTTTTGGTTTGGCATTCCTTAATGACGTAGAGGGAAGGCTGAGGCCACACTCGGAGCCATTTAATGCACGCTGGCCCCACTAGGGAGTGATTTCTGATGACTGCACCCGCCAAAGGTGCAGACCCCAAGGAGTTTTTTCTAAGTCCCATTTTACACAAGTCTTGGGAATCCTTTGCAAAATCCCCTTTCTGAGTGAAGAAAGATACAAATGTAAACAAGTTGCTCAGAAAATGATTGAAGACTCATATTCATTGACCAAACATATACATATATCATGAAAATACAGACAGACAGGAGCCAGAGTCATTTTAATGGGGGAGAAATACGATCCTTCATGTGATGATAGGATGGAGTGAATCAATGTAAATACCAGTTACATGTAGAAATATCTTGTGTATCCATCGATATTACCATCTAGTAGGTGCCAGGGTCAGATGATACATTAACACAATCTAAGGAACACAATATGTCTGGATAGAATGTACGAAGTGGATAAATCTACATTAAACGTGCTATTTGCTGTAATTAGGAGGAGGCAGCAGTTGGTTATATGGAGGTGCTGTCTACAAAGATACAAGTAACAAAAAGCAGGGTAAGCAGCTGACTACAGGCACTGGCTGATGGGGTGTACTACAATCTGACATTTTTCATTTCATAGAGACTGAGCAAAAATTCAGTAGCTTGTCTTTTGGTTTAATCTGTGCTCAGGCCCGAGACATGTTTTAATTCACTTGTGACATTGCAGATTAAATCTGTGCTATTTGCATTTCAGACGGATACCAAAAAGTCTAAAAAGAAAATCCTGCCAGTCCCTATGTCAGTGATGGCTGACCTTGACACTATAAATTGTTTCTGGACTACATTTCCCATGATGCTCAGCTAGCTTTTAGACTCTAAAAGTTAGCTGAGCATTATGGGAAATGTAGTCCCGGTAATACATCTCCTGGTCTCAGTAGTAAGAATAGGTAACACTTCTCCAGCTCTCAGTAGTAAGAATAGGTAATGCTTCTCCTGGTCTCAGTAGTAAGATAGGTAATACTTCTCCAGGTCTCGGTAGTGAGAATAGGTAATACTTCTCCAGGTCTCGGTAGTGAGAATAGGTGATGCTTCTCCAGGTCTCTGTAGTAAGAATAGGTAATACTTCTCCAGTTCTTGGTAGTGAGAATAGGTGATACTTCGCCAGGTCTCAGTAGTAAGAATAGGTAATACTTCTCCAGGTCTCTGTAGTAAGAATAGATAATACTTCTCCAGGTCTTGGTAGTAAGAATAGGTAAAACTTCTCCAGGTCTCAGTAGTAAGAATAGGTAATACTTATCCCGGTCTCAGTAGTAAGATAGGTAATACTTCTCCAGGTCTCGGTAGTAAGATAGGTAATACTTCTCCAGGTCTCGGTAGTGAGAATAGGTGATACTTCTCCAGGTTTCAGTAATAAGATAGGTAATACTTCTCCAGGTCTCGGTAGTGAGAATAGGTGATACTTCTCCAGGTCTCAGTAGTAAGATAGGTAATACTTCTCCAGGTCTCGGTAGTGAGAATAGGTACTATTTCTCCAGGTCTCGGTAGTGAAAATAGGTAATATTTCTTCATAGTTATCTGCAACATGGACATGTGCTTAAAGTGACTCAGTCACAGTAATACACATATATATATATATAAACATTTCACAAAGATTTCTATGACATTCCAAAGCAGCCAAATGATGTCATAAGACAAAGTAGGAATTATTTTGTCAAATGGTAAAAACCTAACAACAAAATCTGACAAAAAGCAAGGCCTCTGATGTATGTTTCATCCTGTCTTACAGCCACATCTATGGAGACTCCTGCAGTCTTGCAGGATACTTCATAGACATCAGTGTTGTACTCTAGCACATACACAAAATACAGCCCTGGCATGAGCTCCTCCAAGTTGACGTGCCAGGAGCTGAGGAGAGAAGATGGTGATGCCCCCAGGAGACAGCTTCATGTAAGTATAACGTATCTCTGTTGCCCGCTTGGGCCGCCATACTTCAAGCAACAATGTCAGCCTATGGGGTCTTTGCGAAATGTGTAAAGAACCCTGAAGGTGATAGAGCTACTATAAAATACTCTGTGCATAAATGTTTCCTTTATAGCTAACTAAACCATAGGTGCTATAGAAGGACCATCCCCGTAAAAGATGTCACTGCAAGCTTTGTATCCAGCTCTTTCAGAAGATGTGGAAGAATCAACAATAGAAGAAGACTATTAAACAAAGCTTTGCTCCGTGGAAAAGAGAAAACTTAAAGGACCACTATAGTGCCAGGAAAACATACTCGTTTTCCTGGCACTATAGTACCCTGAGGGTGCCCCCACCCTCAGGGTCCCCATCCCGCCCGGCTCTGGGGAGAGGGGTAAAAACTTACCTTTTTCCAGCGCTGGGCGGGGAGCTCTCCTCCTCCGATCCTCCTCCGTTCCTTCCATTCGGCTGAATGCGCACGCGCGGCAAGAGCTGCGCGCACATTCAGCCGGTCACATAGGAAAGCATTTACAATGCTTTCCTATGGACGCTTGCGTGCTCTCACTGTGAAAATCACAGTGAGAAGCACGCAAGCGCCTCTAGTGGCTGTCAATGAGACAGCCGCTAGAGGAATTGGAGGAAGGATTAACCCATTTGTAAACATAGCAGTTTCTCTGAAACTGCTATGTTTATATAAAAATTGGTTAATCCTAGCTGGACCTGGCACCCAGACCACTTCATTAAGCTGAAGTGGTCTGGGTGCCTAGAGTGGTCCTTTAAACATAAACTGTACATCTTAGAATGCAGTAATACGAGCAGTCCTCTAAAAACTAACACATTAATGTTAAAGAATTATATTAGTAATGATGAATGACTTATTAAGATTAAATGTCACCACAGCTCTGCACAGTCTGAAGCAAAATTGGTACCACAAGGGCAATAGAGCTGATAAATTACCAAGGAATAAATCAAAATACAAAGCTGCAATATTCAGAATAATTGAGATCATTGACGAAAATGAGGTTGATAGGTCACCAGTCCCTATTGGCAAAGCCTTGCCTACGTTTTTCACTTGCCTCTATAATCTCATTACATACACTACAGGGTTTAACCACTAAATAGCAAACAATATAATATAATATAATATAATGATAGAACGATTTCCAAAATCTAGGCAAAAGCTTCATTATGTTCACTTCAATTTTGCAATTTAGGTTTCAAATAATTAGAGTAAATCTGTAAAACCGCTAATGATTTAAATTTGTGAGCATATTTGAATGGATATAATCACCAACTATGCAGTTTAAAGTAACACTATTCAGTTGGTCTATTATTATTTTTTCATACATCAGGTAAACAATGAAAATTAATTAAAAAAAAATTATTTAAGTGGTTCTGTCTCCTTTCTTGATCTTAACATATTTTGCAAAGACCCCCAATGGCGACATTCCTGTTTGGGATGCAGTGGCCATGGGTGCAGTGGAGGGTTGGCACGCTTACCCTGAAGGTAGGGCCATCCTGTTTCTTCAGCTCCTGGCCCTTTATTTACCAGGGGAATGCACGAGAATACAGCATTGATGTCAATGGAGGATCCTGTGATATAAATCATGTCTCGGAAGCTCTGGCTTTGCCAAGTGTTGCCACTTACCTTTGGGCATTTATTAAAAGACAAGATAGTCCCCAAATAGTCTTCAATGAAATTCCTATGCAGTCAACATGAATATTTCACAAAGATTTTATCTTTAGGAAATATTCAGAAATAAAAAATTTTCGTGACACAGACACTTTAAACAGAATAAAAATAAAACAATATACAAGTTTACTCAGATACTCAGAGTCTCTGAATTTACTGTTAATTAGAGCGCTCAAACCAAACCAGATGGCCAATCACGAAGCTCACTACTAAAATGTACATAATGGGAACAGTTCAGGCAAAAGAAAAATCGAGATTTCAAATCTTACAAGTACCAAATAAAACATGGCGATTTAGTCAGACCGTATGACCAAAGACTGCCAAGCCCATTGATACTTTTTAAGAATGGCTTAATCTTGCTAGCGGTGCAGCTCGCATTGTTTGTATCTTTATAGTTTGTGTCTAATCTGTGTAAAGGGCAGAATGCCCAGCCACAAGCGGGCATGCCATCTTGGCATGACAAGATTCCGACAAGGAGACCAAACATGGCTGCCCATATACAAAGCACTACCGAAGCGCTAGCTTATGGGGCTAACATGACTTGGAATATAAGATCATTTAATGATGGCAGGACTGGGGCTCAATATTAAGACTGTCCAACCAAATTTCTGACTGTTGGCAAACATGAAAACATGTTCAGTTAATCATTTATAGATGCAACTATCGGCCATGTTAGTTGTAGCACAACACTGAGTGCAAAAAAAACAACATAATCCAATATATACAGAAACATATTGACTAAAGCATCTGTTTCAGGTAGAATATAAACACTCAGGAGCCTTCGTTATAATTTCTAGTCTGAAGACATGAACATTCTAAAAAAATTAGCTTTAGTTAGAGGACAAAGAGAGGACCTGTGTGACAGTGAGTTCTTGTGAATGCGTACAGACAGAACTCACAAGACTTATAGGACAATGACTACAGCAGGGGTGCCCAAAAGGTAGACCCCCAGATGTTGTAGAACTACAACCCCCGTGATGCTTTGAATGCCTTTGAAATGTCTTTAGAATGACAAAGCATCATTGCAGCTGTGATTTTAAATCACCTGGGGATCTACCTTTTGGGCACCTCTGACCTACAGTCAGTATCACCACTCCTACGGAAATTAAAACGTTCTTTCAACATGTGTTTTTTTAGCCTTTTCTAAGATAAATATTATCTTAACAATATGCTGTTATCATTATGTTTAAGTGTGAACATACTCCACCGCCTCGAACAACGTGAAAAAAAGAATAAACAATTCCAGAAAAACATCAAAAAGCTATTTTATTATCATGTAAGCAAGAATAACTCACATACATCCTCTATGCAGCACAATATATAGCAGTAGTGATGCGTCTCTGCGGATGAAGAGTATAATACACTAATTAATGGGGTGTTAGACATACGTTGGATACTTGGATTTTGCAGTGATAAAGTTACAGAATTCTGTGCTGAGCTTCCCAGAAATAGAACCCGGATCACTAGGAGAGAATACTTCTACCACCTGGAAATAAGGGACAGTAAAGTCACCCAGGCCACTTCATCTCAGTGTTACGTTAACCCTCCAGTGTAAAACATTAGAGTTTTGTAGAAATTACCATGTTTACATTGCAGGGTTAAGTCCACCTCCAGTGGTCAGCATGACAGCAACTAGAAGCTCGTTCACTGCACTGAATGAGTAAAACGTAGTCACTTGACATGGAATCTCCCATAAGAAAGCTTTGATTCAATGCTTTCCTATGGGGAGGTTTTAAATGTGAGCGTGGTGTCGTGCATTAGGTCCTCAATGCTTTTCTATAAGGACAATTGGACCATTGCAGAGGGATCCATGCCTTCTCTGTGACACTGCCAGAGGAAGAGAGTTCTGCAGTGCCAAGGGAGTCTTGCTGCTTGAAAAAGCTAAGTAAATCCTTTATATTTTAATTATTTCCATCTTTTAAACGTTATACTACATGAGCAGAGGGAAAAAAAAAAAACCTGCTTTTTGCAACACTAACACATGAAACCTATTTACCGCACAAACTACAACAATACTTTATTTCTGTCAATTACTTCTTAGTGCTGATCCGGAGGCAATGTGTTCTGCAATGGATGGCAATGGAGGGAGTTACCTATTTTAGCAATAAGATCCAGCACAGCAGTGGATACACTGAGATAGTCATTTATTGAATACAAACTAACAAGGGTTCTCACAGAATGTAAAATCAACATAAAAGAGTTTCTTGCAAGTAACTACTGCAGAATTACAATAATTGGTAGCCTATGTGAACACCTAATTAAAATGGAAACTATTACGGCAGAGCTTCGCTAAGCCATTTCTAAGTCTCTGCCTAGCCGGCGTTAATTGTTTCACTGTTTTGTCGCTAGATTTTTTACTTTCACTACCCTTTCTCATAGAAATTCAGAGAACCAATGTTTGCCACAGACAGCAGACAAACAAGGTCAGGCTTATCAATATACTAGCTGTAACTGCTATTGCTTAATGAATTAAAGCACAGTGACAATACATTTTTATATTTGCATCCCTCAAATAATGTTTTTAATCATAATGTTAACTATACACATAGCA